CAACAAATCATCCATTCCATGTTGGGAACAAGTCCACATTGTTTTCACAGCTTTCTGATTTGTAGAAGACCTGATTATAAGTCATAAACTGTTTAAGCTCATTAAAAAAAAAGAAAAATTTGGTTTTCTTTTCAAAACTTTGCATTTGTGTAAGGAGGATAAAATGATGTCAGGTTCTCTGCTGGTAACTAATGACGTCACGGTGACTGGTTTCTAAGCCAATCAGATAATGAGTCCACCTGAGGAGGAAGTGTCAGACCTGTATTTAAAGAGTCAGCATGTGAGGGTCTTCAGGCAGTGGTGAATTAGTTAGTGACACACTAAAACCAGAGTTTCACTACAGATCAGCATGAAGTTTACGTTGTTGTTCATTCTGACAGTTTGGGTGAAGTCCCTCCGCTCCGGCTGCTCTCCGTCATGTATTCATCCGCCAGGAAAGTGGTGCTCTTCTTTAGACTCGGCTGTTCAATGTGGGGTATGTTAGAATGATTCTTCTCCTCCTTCTTTTATCATTATTATTATTTAATTATTATCATCATTATTATTATTATTAACACCGCCCGCCGTGGAAAGACGGAATGACGTGTTGTTTTAACAACGCGCCTGTTTCCGTTCCGACCGAGCGCAGCTCGTGACGTCATCAGATTTGGGCCCGTGGACTGATGACAGAGGAAACTTTACTTGTTGTAAACTTATCCTGCAAACTTCCTCCTGCAGAGAGACACGTTTGTTTCAGAATACGATCACGACACGTGAAAACCGGTGATAAAACGTGACTTTATCACCGGTTTCCTTGTCTGTGATCGTGGGAAGGTGAACACTTCCTGGAAAGACGTGATGGAGACAAACTCGAGCTGCAGATGTCAACAAACTGTCTCCTCACACTGAAACAAGCACTTATTACATCATAATCTTACATTTTATCATCTAAGAGTGATTTAACTGACGTGTGTGTTTAAAGCTCGGGGGGAAACAGCAACAAGGAAGTAAAAAAAGAGCTCAGCTGATTAAAGTCACCTGATTAAAGTCACCTGGGGGTGGGGCCAAGAACCTGATCTTCTGTTCGGGGAAAAAGCAGGAAGTATGGAGGACCATTTCTGTCAAAATAAAATAAGATAAATACTGTAGTTTTAAAGNTGTATGTATGTATGTATAGCTTTTTTTCCTTTTTTTCTTATAAAAGCCTAAATAAAACAAAAAAATTGGTGGTAATTTTTGACTGTGTAACTTTACAAACAGCAGCCAACAGTTACGATACAAATTTCAGCCATATCCTCCAGCGTATTGTGAGTATAATCCTGAAAATAATTAAATCTCATGTTAGCTCCGGTCAAGACTCAAAGAGCTGCTTTAGAGAGACCGAAGTGTGGACCCAGAGCCATGGGTTGCAAAGCCCTGGTCTAAGTGGTATCTGAAAGGAGCTGGACTTTCTCAGCCTAGTAAGAACTCTGTGTGTAACATGCTTTCAAGCAATGCTACAGATTAAATAATTAAATATTAGCAGTTGAACTGTGGCCTGTTTCATTAATTGTAATTCTGTTCCAGTCCCAAACTGAACCTGACTTTATTTCTCTGACTGTTTGCAGGTTGTAAAGCAGTGCCTGGAGTCAGATTTTCTGCGGTCCCGTCAGACAGCAGATCCAGTCCATGTTGAACTTTACTATGAGAGCCTGTGTCCTGGCTGCAGACTTTTCCTCACCCACATGCTCTTACCCACATGGGTCCTCCTGGGAGACATCATGTCTGTAACTCTGGTGCCATATGGCAATGCACAGGTGATCAGTGGACTGAGTCCTCTTCTTCTACAACACTTAATCATTTTTTATCTCTTTATAATTTCTCCTTTTTTGCAATCAACTAATTCTGCATACTTTGTGCTTTTTTAACCATTCATATTAGAGCTGCACAAGATTGTGCAAATTTATCATCATCCTGGTGAAATGCAGTACATGGTTGGCTCATATGTTTGGTTTTATACATTTTGTCAGCGTCAGTTTAATAAAAATGGACCTGAGATACTACATCAGATCAGAACCACTTACTCAGTGGAGGAACTGTTGGATAACTGCACTGATAGATTTTAAATGTTACATTTTTTATATTTATAGGGTTTTACTAATCCTGAATAGCTCTGGGGAATTAAATGAGCACAAAGCAAAGAGAAAACTGCAGAGGGG